TCGGTTACATCCAACACAAACACACTGCCTTCCAAGGGCACTACTGGTGGCGGGGCATTTAGGATCTCAGGAAGGTGAGGCAAACCAACTTGAATCTAGCCATGGGCTCGAATGCTTCTTTCTAAATCTTGTTTCTGAAGGGAGTTTCTGGGCAGAAGTGAGAAACATGCAAAGCCAAAGAGAACAGCAATCACAGAAAGGAGAAAGAGAGACAAGGATTCAGAGAAACCCACATCAGACTATTAGTATGTGAATGTCTCAGAGGGATGGACTGAAAGTGGGTTGGGTCATGAGTAAGCTTAAGGATCAATTCTTTCTAGGCTATCAAAAACCCTCAACAAAATATCAGCATAGCAAATCCAACAATATATAAAAATATGCAGGTGCACAACAAGTAACTAAAGTTTATTCCAGGAGGCATGGCGGGTTCAACATTGGAAAATCAATGTAGATACCGTATTAACAGACCAAAAGAAGAAAAACCAGGTATGTGTATCAGCTGATGCTGAAAAAGCACTTGACAAAATTCAATACCCATTCATGATAAAAACTTCCAGCAAACTAGGATAGCAGGGTAATTCCATAACCTGATAAAGGGCATGTACGTAAAAATCTACAGCTAATCTAAGACTCAGTGGTGAGAGACTGTATGCTTTCCCCCTAAGGAACAAGGGAAGGTTATCATCTCTCACCAATCCTATTCAGCATATTTCTGGAAGCTGCAATAAGGTAAGAAAAAGAAATGAAAGACTGAAAAGGAAGAAATAAAACTTTTTAAAAAAGTATTTATTTGAGAGAGAGAGCGCGCGCGTGACCATGAGCGTGAGCAGGGAAGGGGCAGAGATAGAGGGAAAGAGAATCCCAAGCAGGCTCTGTGCTAAGAGCCCCCAAGCAGGGCTCAAATCCCCAAACCAGGAGACCATGACCTGAGCCTAAATCAAGAGTTGGGAGCTGAACCAACTGAGCCACCCAGACACCCTGAAACTTTATTTGTAAACAACAGGGCTATCGGTGTAGAAAAAAATCTCCATAAAAAGATCTAAGAGCTAATCAATGAGTTTAGCATTATCAGAGGTTGCAAGCTCAATATACAAAAATCAATATATTAACAACAAACCATTGAAATCAAACGTTAAAAACACACAGGACTATTTACAGTAGCATCAAAAAAGAAAAAAGAAAATATTTATTAGGTAAAGATATAACTTTAGAATATGCTAAAAACTACAAAACACTGATAAAAGAGGGGCGCCTGGCTGGCTCAGTCAGTTGAGCATCCAACTTTGGCTCAGGTCATGATCTCACAGTGAGTTCAAGCCCTGTTGTCGGGCTCTGTGCTGACAGCTCAGAGCCTGGAGCCTGCTTCGGATTCTGAGTCTCCCTCTCTCTCTGCCCCTTCCCCACTCTACTCTGTCTCTGTCTCTCTCTCGAAAAGAAATATTAAAATTTTTTTTAAAAATACTGATCAAAGAAATCAGAGAAGACTTACATAAATGGAGAGGTATAACATGTTCATGGATTGGAAGGTGCAACATTACTGACATGCCAATTCTCCCCACGTTGATCTACAGACTCAACGAAATGCCAACCAAATCCCAGCAGGCTTCACAGGTACGTACTGATGAGCTTACATGGTAAGGCAAAGGGGTTACAAGGTGGGGAGAAGGACCGACTACAAAGGAATGGCACAGGGGCATCTGGGGGGATGATGGGACTGTCCTCTATCTCGCTGTGGTGATAGGGACATGACTGTGCACTTGTCAACACAGAGCTCTTCGAAACTTTCTGAAATTGGTTGTGGTGATGGCGGCACATATTCTGTGAATATACTAAAAACCACTGCACCTTTTATATGGATGGAGATGGTGTGGCCAGACCACACAGTGGGAGGCTGCTGGGGATGAGAAAAAAGTCAGAGGCCCCAGCCCTCACTATGCTTTGCAAAGACCTCACTGCGGCATTTCCACAGTGGTTTCTCAGAACTCTGACTTTTCTCTGCCCTGGAATCTTACTGATAACAGAAAAACCGTCCAGAAACGTCCCTGCTATAGGAATGACACAGCCCCCAACACTCACAGCTCACCCACGCCAGTGCCCAGGCGATTTTGGACTTGCCCGGGGATTCGCATTCTGACCCAGCACACGTGTCCATATACATAACAACTAGAACAACAGGGATCTTGAACATTGTCCTCCTACTGCACAGGAGAGAAATTTGAGACCAAGAAAAGAAACGTGATTTACCTAGGGCTGCTCAGTTGATAGTGGCAAAGGCAAGGGCCAAGGCTATGCCCTTTCTTCATCACTTTGACACCTCTCTGTCAGGTCAAAAATACGAGCCTGGCACATATCACATGCTCTACACTGGATAGCTAAGTGCAAAATAAAACTTTTGCATACTCTGAATGGGGGTAAGTTCTCTCCACATGCTGACACTGACCTGTGCCAATCTAACTTTCCTATCAAAAGGACCAGCACAGACTCCTAGAAATAAGATGGGGACAGGCAAAGGGGAAAAAGAGGATGAAGACCTTGTAGAAAATAGGACTATTATAAGTATGAAGAACAGATCCCATTGATTTCTGGGGAAAGGATTAAAGATCTCACTAGGACACCAAGAAGAGGTAGCAGAATAATAACTAACATTTCTTCAGAGCTCAAATACTTCATACAGGATCTGCACAGTAACCTGGGGACCAGGTAATACCATCATCCCCATTTTGTAGATGAGGAAACTGAGGCACAAAGAGGTTAGGTGACTTACCCAAGATCTCAATCCCACAGTGGGAATTTTACTAGCTGTGCGACCTGGGACAGCTACATAACCTTCCAGAACCTCAGATTTCCCATCTGGAAAGTGGAGATGACAAATAGTACCCCACTTAGAGGGTTATCTCATCTGAGGTAATACCAAAAAAACAAAAAAAAAAAAACAAAAAAAAACCAAAAACAACAACAAAAAAAACAACACTGAGCACAGCACCAGGTGCAAATTACATGCTCTACATATACTGAGGGGAAAAGAAAACCCTCATGTGGTCCATGGAACAATTCTATTATGGTAAACCATCTGCGGGCCTTGTATCACTACATTCTTGGGTTATCATTGCTTCTTCCTTCACTGACTTTCCTGGAAAGAGTCTTTTTCTCCGCGTGAATTAGAAACTAAGTAGAAACCACTGCTTCATCAGCCTCCCTTTTCTTCCCAGTGGAGAGGGCTCTTTCAGCCCTGCTTGGCCTGTATTTTTCTTCACCTCTCTCCCTGGCCCCAAGGAACAGAGATTGACATTGACTTACAGTGGACATCTGTTCGGGGGCAGATGGCCTGTGTGATTTGAATATTTATTGTCTCAGTAATTTGTACTTTACATCTTCCTAAAGTAAGAAGGTGGCCTTAGTAAGAAATGCCAAATACACAGGGAGGAGCAGAGATCTGCACCAGATAGGAACTGTGAACGCAGGGTTGAAGTACCATTACCAAGAGCAACAAGTAAGTACACACTTTCAAAGGCGATGCAAAGTTAAGAATAAAAATTGAACCAAGAAAGCTTAGGTTGGTCATTAGGATTGAGGGGGTGGAGAGAGCTCCCTGGAAATAAACTCTGAAATGTGTCCCCTGCACAAACTGGCAATTGTGGGACAGACACTGAGGAGAGAAGAAAATAAATTATTACGTGTTACAGAATCCCATGCTACGACTTCTAATATATACTGTTAAATTATGACAGCAAGGTGAAAAGCATCAAAATAACAAGGGGCCCACATTATAATGGAGGGATCAGGATGACATCAGCTAAGCCCACTCATCAATCTTAGTACCATGAAAACAGAACTAACCAGACATCATGCACCTCCTGATGGAAATACACATCACCACCCATGATATGGCCTTGCAACAAACAAATCTAAATCTGATGAACCTCTGTATGTAATAGACAGTTTGTAGAAAATACGGAGGACTGGAGAACTTGTTAACGACACCATAGGGATGCATTCAGACACATCTACTCAGTAGGAATGAACCACAGGAATGAATGACTAGATTTTTATTCAAGTAATAAGTTGCAAGGAAAAAGGAGGGGGAGGAATGCACAGATTCCTGGGTGGCTCTGGGTGGCTCAGTCAGTTAAGCATTAAAAAACATTAAAAAAAAAAAAAGAAACTTGAGAGACACATAAATGAAATAAAATGTGTAGTTTTTGTTTGTATCCTGATTTGAACAAACCAACTGTTTAAACACACACACACACACACACACACACACACACAGAGAGAGAGAGAGAGAGAGAGAGAGAGAAAGAGAATAGAGAGAAAGCAGAACCTGTGATTATAATCACTTTGATTTCAGCCGCAAACTTCGTGTATACACTCAGGCAAGGACCGAACAGATCATGTGTGGAACCTGAGTAATGGTGGGGCCGTGGGTCAATTCTGTTTTTTATACCTTTTTTTAGATCTAACTATATTAATGTTGCTCTGAGCATATATAGGTAATAACATAAAACGTCAAAAATAAAATGCTAGATCTATAAAATATCTTCAAAGCAAGATGCAGGTAAAACATAAATTAACAGGCACATTGCACCATTAACTCCTCCGGCAGTTTCTAGGAGACAGAGGACAACGAGGGATTAGTTGTCAAAGCCTAACAGAACCACAACTAACTTACTTCTACGGCTGGCAGCATTTCCACGTCCCAGCACTACCGAAAAGCCCATTTTGTGAACTGACCAGGAAGCTTTCAAATCCTCTGCCCTCTCTCTCAACTCTGGGCCTCTGCAAAGGCTGTTCCTTCCTCCAGCAACTCTCCCACCTTTTCCTCCTGCCTTGCCATTTCCCACGCTCAGGTCTCAGCCTGGAGGTTCCTCCCCTGGGAATGCCTGACTGCAGACAAGGGAGGATCCCTGCCTGTGATCTGTGCAGACACTAACCAGACTTCGGATTCAAAGGTGCTCTTTCTTGCACATTTTTGCTTCCCTCTGGTCAGGGGAGTAACTTACCAATGCTGTCGGCCAGACCAGGGAGAAGTTACCGCGTGACAATGTGCCAAAGTCAAACCTCGCGGAAAGCGTGTCAGGCACGCGGAGCATCATTGCCAAAGTGGGAGTCAAAAGCCAGCGTATGAGCCCAGCGCCGATGGCTTTTACTTCTTTTACGGACTCTTCCAAGGAATGCTGCATTGCTCACACCCTTGGTGATACAAAAGATGACAGGGTGTATAAAAGTACTTTAAAAAAAAAAAAATTCAGAAGAGGAGGACTCTGTAAAGAAATCGTAGGAATATCTTAGGCAATTTATTTTCCTTCCTCAAGTTTTGTTTTTATACAGTCCCAAGAGCATGTAAAATCTCAACGAAGTTTAAAAGAGCTCTTCTAACGAGCATACAATAAAAATTCTACGTAAGAGATCTGTGTCATCACGTAAGTAACATTTTTCTTTCTTAGCAGTGCCTATAACAACGGTGCCTTAGAAGTGACGAAGCACAACGCTTGTTCAAGGTCCACATTTTCTGCCGATGGGGGAGGGGCTGGCCTGCCTCGTTCATCGCCGTAGCCTCGGCCACTGGCAAAGGGCTGGGACGGAACAGGCGCTAAACATCTGCTGAGGTGACCTGAAGCAGGGCCTCTGCCAGGCAAAGGGGCCGTGACCAGAACCACACCAAGGGTTAGCACCTGAGCCATAAACAGACATCCCAAAGTGGGCCTGCCCTGTCTGGCCTTGGATTCTTTTCACCTTGAATCTGAAACAGTAGTGCCCCTGTTCTGGGCTTCCTGGTGTTAAATTGGGAGCCCTGTCCTGACAGCCTGACAAACTGAGACATTTCTCTCATCCTGTGGCTTGTCTCCGATTTGCTTTGGCATAGGAACCCGCTGTTTTGACTGTGTGGGTCTGTGGAAACCTGTCAACTCAAGTACGTCAAAACGAAAGGTGCTTTCACACTGGTGGCCAGGACAGCGGCTGTTAACTTTACCAGAAACTCCAGGTGGGCATCCCAGCCTCTCCTTTCGAGGGTCCCACCCGCATCTTCCTCGGGAAGGAGAACCCCCCCCCACACCTCCCTGCCTTTCTGGCCTGCAGGCCTGAAGTTAATGCCCCAGGCACCCCGATGCCTCCAGGCTTGGCAACGGAGCCCTCCCACACCGGGCCCGCACCCCACCCCTCAGCAGGCACTTCCCCACGTAGCATCACATCTTCTGAGGAGGATCCAAGTCTCAAGCATTTCATCCAGGCTTTAAATGTTTATTTTTGAGAGAGAGAGAGAAAGAGAGAGAGAGAGAGAGAGAGAGCAAGTGGGAGAGGGACAGGGCGGGGGGCAGGGGGGACAGAAGATCTGAAGTGCTGACAGCACAGAGCCTGATGTGGGGCTGGAACTCAAGAGCCGTGAGATCATTACCTGAGCTGAAGCTGGAAGCTTCTGACAGAGCCACCCAGCTGCCCCTGGCAGGCTGACTTTTTTACTTAAAAACACTTTTTTTAATGTTTATTTATTTTTGAGAGAGAGACAGGCAGAGTGTGAATGGGGGAGTGGCAGAAAGAGAGACATAGAATCCAAAGCAGGTTCTAGGCTCTGAGCTGTCGGCACAGAGCCCGAAATGGGGCTTGAACTCACCAACTGCGAGATCACGACCTGAGCCAAAGCCACATACTCAACCAACTGTGCCACCCAGGCGCCCCGGTTGACTTTTTTAAAAGGAGTGTTATTACCAGGGACTTTGTCCAGAAAATACGCTTTCGATCATTTAGAACAAAACAAAACAAAAACTTGTGAGTGCTTTCTATGCTCCAGGCACTGACGTAGGAGCAAGGCACCCTGAGGTGACCCAGACAGAAAGGTCACTGTCCTGCAGTTCAGATTCCGGTGAGAAGACCCACCATGAATGAGTAACGAAGTGAACAAGGGGATTTCGGCTCGAGAAGTGATGTGAAAGAAGTCAGAACTGGGCAACAGGACAGGGTGATGGGGTTAGGGTGGCGTTAGGGGGATGACTTCAGATGGGGCCTTTGGAGAAGACCCGTCAGAGGCAGGACAGGAAGTGGTCCAGCAGGGAAGCAGGCAGTCTCCACACATGGATGTTTCCTTATCTATAAAATATGAAAAACAGGGCCTTTGAGCCTCCACACAGAGCTGACAGAAAAGGCAAGAGTAGAGAATCCTGCCTCTTCAAAGCTTCAGACAGAAGTGACAAGTACCTCGTCTACTCTTATTCCTTTGGTGAGAACCCGTGGCACAGCCTGGCTGAAACAGAGACGGCGGGAAACGTCTGGCCGCACAGCTGTCAACCAGGAACAACCCCACACTGTGAAAGAGGGAGCATGAGTTTTTGGTGAACTAAATATCCGTCATCGAGTGGAACCCTGTATGCAGTATCCAACTGCATAACTACTGTGAATTCAGACGCTTGGCGCGAAATAGGAAAAACAGTACTTAGATGATAGGGTTGTCAGGAAGACTGAATGAGGCAATTCATGTCAAGTTCATAGAACTGGACTTGGTAGGTGATGGGTCTTCAATACATTTTAGCCATTGCCCCAAGGATGTGATATTTGAGGTAAGTCTGTATGTTTTCCTTCCTTCCTCCCTCCCTTCCTTCCTCCCTCCCTCCCTCCCTTCCTTCCTTCCCTCTCCCTCCCTTTTCTTTCTTTTCTCTTTTCTTTTTTCTTCCTTCCTTCCTTCCTCCCTTGCTTCCTTCCTTCACTAGGACATGCAGTCCAGCTCAACGTGAACTACTATTAACTTCAGATAGGAAGTTTGCAGAAGAGTCTTTTGTGAAAGCAAAACCACTGAAATCAAGATAAGGTGTGCCATGGTCCAAATGTGTCTCCGTCTCCCTCTTCTGTGTCAACTACAACCACAAAATACTGCCCTCCGTACCAACTTTAATGTCCAAGGATGGGGTTGCTCTGTCCTGGACTCTTTAGAAATATCAAGGTCGTGAAAGACAAGAACGTATGTTCCAGACTGAAGGAGATTAAAGAGACAGGACAAATGAATATAACTCATGATCCAGGATGGGACCCTAGACCAGAAAAGGGACGTTAGTGGGACAACTGGCGAAATCTAAATAAGGCTGGTAGGTTAGATAATAGTCTGGTGTTGTTCATTTCCTGATTTAGGTAACTGTACTGAAGTGATGTAAGAGAAGGTCCTTCTTAGGAAATGCACACTGAAGAATGCTGGACAAAAAAGCATTATGCCTGCAACTTACTCTCAACTGATTCAAAGAAAAAATAATATGTACATAAATGGAAAATGATTAAACAAACATATTAAAAGGTTAACAGTTAAGAGGCGTTAAGCATCCGACTTCGGCTCAGGTCATGATCTTGCGGTTCGTGGGTTTGAGCCCCGCGTCGGGCTCTGTGCTGACAGAGTTTGGAGCCTGGAGTCTGCTTGGGGTTCTGTGTCTCCCTCTCTCTCTGCCCCTCCCCCGCCCACG